GGTTTTCTGTATGAAGTGAAAAAGGTTCAACAAGTTAGGACATAATAATTAAGAATAACACAGCTGGAGCAAGATGGTGATTATCTGCTTTTGACGTGTTTGATGTGATTTGATTTACAGAAAATATTTGTACTATTATTTTCATCCAGCTATATGTCTATGAGACTGATTTGAATCATTCATCTTAGTTTATCAGTCATTAAAAAGCAATACTTAGCCTGTGAAAAAAACAAAGAGGAACATTAAAACCTATTTTCCAAGTATATAAGCAAATCAAAATACAATATTTATGGATTATAAAGTTTCCAATAGCAGTAAATAAATAAATGACTTGCATTTAAATTGAGATTTCATTATTTAATTTGTCGCAAAATTACACAGTTCTTTCCACATAATTTCCTAAAGAGCCATAAAATAAGGCATAATGAATAGCCTATAATTACCCCTATTTCCAGTCATGTATAAGAACAGAGTGTTCTGGCTGTGCAGGTAACCAGAGAAGACCCCGCCTGTTCATTTCCCCCATTCCTCCATCCTGTTATGTTCAGCTGTAGGGCAGGTAAGTGATTTAGCAGACCTGCACACTAATCTTGCACTATCCATTCTCTCCCTCCTCTCTTTCAGAGTGCTGCTCTGGGTAAATGGGGGGCTTCTCATGTTCCACAGCAGCTGGATGGGGGAGGAGAAACAGTGTGTGAAACACTGCTTAATTCTCTGCTGCCATTTTGTCCTTGTAGCAGCATTATTAATATTGTGTGTGTGGGATTTCCCACATAATGCAGTTGTGTGGTTTGGGAATGCAAGGCTGACACACAACTCCTTCAACCCTCCCTCTGGTTGGCTGTGGTAGAACTGAATCCTGAATAACAGGGTGAATCGATATTGTGGCGTAAAGGAATGCAATTTTTAAACAGCAAAAGCAGCGATACTTAAAATGCTAGACAGTCTAATCAACAGAGGGCCGGATACACTTTGTCCTGTGGGCTTCACATGTACTCACTCTATATGTTAGAAAGAGTAGAGTAGGAAAATACTACCGTGTGAAAATTGTCAAGAATGGAGTCATGTCTCAGTTCAGATGCTACCCCTGGTACAATGCATTGTAGTACCCTGAGAACGCTAATGCGGTGCGAGAATTTTTATTGAATTTCACCTTGATAGTATCGTCTCAAATCACAATAGCAACAATATGAAAATATATTTTTCATTTATAGTTTAAATATACTTTTTAACGTTAGAAGTGAGATAAAACTTAAGCTAGTTAGCTAGCTTATGACGAACCCTTACGAACCCTCCCAAAGTTAGCTAACCAAAAACTGCTACAAAATGGAAACTTTTAACGTTAACTTCTATTCAGGACAGAAATGAAAGGCCCACCTACAAATAAACATTCTTACCACTAAATTACTTTGAAAGCTTACCAAAGAAAAGGTTTCATGATTTATGAGCAGGAACGCAGGAGAAATACAGTAACTGCCACCAAGAGCGACTCTAAGAAACATAAGGCGTGTTCACACTTTAGTTCCGATATAGTTCCAAAATGTTGCGTTCACACCAAAAAGATCCGGAACTAAAATTAGTTCATGAGAACCTTTTTACCCCCTTTTCCGTCCCTGCTAGAGAGCAGGGACTTTCGTGGGAGAAAAAGGTTCCTATTTCTGATTGGCTGGGCGGATTGCAAACCACGCCCTGTAAAACTCCCAAACAGTGTTGTGAAGCCGCCATTTTATTATCCTTGCATTAGCATTATTAGCATTAGCCCAGCGCAGAAACGCAGAGAGACTAACTTATGGCAACACAAAACAACACATGGGAGCGGTGGAGATGAGGAGGTGTCGGCGTTCTGGCGATTTAATCGGAAGGCTTCAGTAGAAGCTGCTGGGAGTCCCAGCAGCTTCTACTGAAGCCAGTCCCCAACTCCGGGGACTTCGGGTGGCAGTATACGCCGTGAAGTTGTTTGCGGCCTGCCAGTAAACCCAAAGCAGAAGAAGAAGAAGTGACGTCAGCGGCTTCATTTGCCTAATCCTAATCCTTCCCCAGGAATTTATTCTGGTGTGAACGCGATCTGTACCCCTAAAGAGTTCTCATGAACTAAGTTCTCATGAACCTTTGTGGGAAAAGCACTGCGGTGTGAATGCGCCTAAGGGTACGTTTTCGGGGTGGTTTGGCCAAATTGGCGCTAGTTTGCTGATGGAAATTGAGCAGGATGTCATGACACACAGGGGATCATTCTTTCTGACCAATGGGTGGACTGAAGTGTTTTTATGTCACATTTTGGTATAGGCTCTGCTTGCTCGGATTCTACCCCTAGTGGAAAACCAAGAAAAGAGGGAGCCAAGCGGCAGAGACCCGTACCATGAAGTGGAAACACACTACATTTGAGCTACTTCTAAATGTCAGTATGATTTACTGTGTTGATCTCGTCTAGGCCGTTGCTATCTCATGGCCCTCGTGTGTTTCTCTTTATCAAGCCTGAGCAGACACATTCAAGACATGTGGGAAATGTTAGATTGGGGTCCATGTAAGTGAAAGGATATGAAAACCCAGTGGCTGTAGGGTTGGGAAACACTGTCACAGCACAATGAGCTCATTTATCATTGCAACTAGAAAGAGTCCAAATGGGTTGTAAGTTTACACCGGTCATTGTTAAAGTTAAAACGCAAACATTTCACCTTACATGTCAATTTTTTCTAAAAGTAAAAGAAAACCTGGTCAGTATTTTTTCAAACTTGCACAGGTATATGATACTGAAATATTTGGTCTAGGAAGCAGGCTTTAAAAATAGAACGCTTTGAGCCGTCCACGGGCAAGAGGAAGTGCCAACAGCAGGGGCTCTGTGGTGTCGTGTTTAGGAAGCCATTGACCCTTCTCCCAGACAGAGCACCTTCAAACACACAGCGCCAAAGTGAACAACAGGAAACGAGCAACAATGAGCCTCCACTCCCCCTCCAAACGGGACACATAGGGCTTCCCTTCAGGACTCTAACACAATGTATTAAAGTAAAAGAAAGTTACACATCTGATCTTTGAGTCTGATAAAAGAAGTAATGTTAGGTCAACTCTTTTAATCCCATTATTGAGGCATGAGGCAGTTATAAACGTACCATTCAAAAATAGGCAGGCACAGTAATATGTTATTGTGTTAAAGGCATCAACACTTCCAAAGCTAAGGAAGCCTTTTTAAAGTGGTGGTGGTTTGTGAATGGCTGGATTGTTTTAGTTACGGTAAGACAGTGGCCTCGTTAACAGGAGAGCAGGGCAACAGAGGCAGTTTGTTTAGTCATAACAGCAGATCCACAGTGCCTTCGGGCAAACAGCATCCTGCAAATCAGCCAATCTTTTTCTGTTCGTAACCATGCGTTTCCATTATGTCACACAACCTGAACTGACCCAATCAGAACGCAAAATCGATTAATTACACAGTACTTCCTTATAACACACTCAGGGAGGTGAATGTATACACTCAGTGGTGTAAAGTAACTAAGTACATTAACCCAAATACTCTACTTAAGCATAATTGTGAGGTACTTCACTGAGTATCTCCATTTCCTGCAACTTCGTACTTTCACACCACTACAATTCAGAAGGTAACTAGTGTACTTTTATTACACTACCCTTATTTAATACCTTAAATTACTGCAGATATGGATTAATGATATAAAACAAAATCAACGCTTGAATAATACTTTAGTTACTGGACTAAATTCACAAACTACCCAGCAGTAAATAAAATAATAAAAAATAGTTCCACCCTTACAAGCTATGGTAAACATCATCAATAATTATAATCAAAACATATAATCTGTATCATTCAGAAATGGGCCAAAATGATGCCAATACTTTTAGTTGAGTAAGATTTTGAATGCAGGAATTATATTTGTATCAGAGTACTTCTACTCTCTGGTACTTTTACTTTGACTTGTGCAAGATCTGAGTACTTCTCCCGCCCCTGTATACACTACACTGCACCCCTCACCTCTGTTTATGACTGGTACCTGATCAGGTGGTCAGTGTCAACGGCTCAAAATAAGGGGCACATAACGTGAACATGTGACTATAATAACACAGCATGGAGCCACATATTTGTAGTCTACTACAACAGCAATGACGTCACAGTTATTTCTAAGGTACACGTAACGTTGCTATGACCGGAGGATGCTTGTCACTATGGGGACGCCAGAGAAGGACGTCAACCGGTGACTTCTTTTAGCAAAGCTTCTGTAAACAAACAGCCAGAATGAATGAGATCTCATCAGTCTCCTCGGTTTAAGCTCGTAAAACAATCACAGGACCAAAGCAGCTGACAGACCCAGCGGCTTAAATCCTAGCTGTTCAATTCGGCTATCGGAGGCCAGCTAAATGCTAACAGAAACTAGCGGGGGGGTGAGAGTTTAGGAGGGTCAAAAAGGGGAACAGAGGTTAATGAAGCGTCCAGTGTGACGATAAAACTCACCCACTGGACCTTTAAGTTTGGACGAGCGTCTTCCATTCACACTTTTCTCCAATCTGCTACTCCCACCACTCGTCTTGCTCGACGCCATCTTCGCCTACTCTGTTTACGCACCGCCTCTCTCATCTCTCCTACATACCTGCCTGCGAGAGCCTAGGTCCCGCCCACTCCAAAAATAGAGCCAATAGAAGGCTGCGTCAGTATGCAGTAGCCAATCACGACACTCAAAAATCCACTAGTACCCGCCCCTTTTACTTTGCAAAGTAAAAGTAATCCATTCATGTGGAGAACAGATTAGAAACAGATGAAGTATGTATTTATTATGAAGACAATTCAAAGAATACTTTGTATATCAAGAGTATTTTGTTTTATCACAACTTTATTTTTTAAGCACTTCAAGAAATTCAAGAAGCAAATACATTGTCACACATCATAAAGCCATTCAATAATATGCAAGAAATATGTTATATTGTTTTAAAATGAACATTAAGAAGCTTATAACAAAACTATCTCAGCACCAGCTCCACTCAGAAGCTATTTTGAAGCTTTCATTCATATCATAAAATATTTCTCAAAAGAGGAAGTTGCCTGGTTTTCAAAGTCTGAACACTTTTTGTCCATGTTGAGTATTATTACTTCCCACTGCAGTGTTTATTATACATACAAAAGGCAGATTCCAGAGACATATACCCTTATTTTCTAGACTCAGTTTTCTTGAACTTCATTAGAATACAATGTTTGATAAATGAAGGAGTGGAAGACACATTTATATTGCTATTAGTAGCACTGTAAATCATTTGTAGAAAATAGATATCTTTACAATCATGTTGAACATCTGCCTTTCATATTTCTATAATCCTGGCCAACATTGACTGAGTGGTGCCATTGGCGAGACTGATAAATCAACTGCTTTCCAGTTCAAAAATCTGTTCAATCTCAAATAAACAAGCTGCTTAAAAGATACGTTATCAGATGCTAAAACTGTAACTGCACGCTCTGTACAAAACTCCAAATGCGTGCGGTACGGTAAAGAATGAAGATGATATTAAGATATCACAGAGTTGTAGGTCAGCACTTAAAATAGACTCAACACTCTCCCTTTCTTTATCTTTCCAATTTCCTTCAGGGTTTTTCCAGCTGGATCTCCTCCTCCTCTTCCTCCTCCTCCTCTTTCCCCTTTAAGTTGCCCACATCCTGGTACTGGCCATGTGTCTGGGGACGTTCAATCTGATCATATGTGGACCAGCATTCGTCCAGATTTAGCCCCTGGCGTATGGGAACACGGATATTAAGTACAAACACGTGAACAAAAATGCATCGCATTCATGGCAAATTGATTGGGAAAAGAGTACATGTACACTCATGTCTTTGTTGCTGCTTTCAGCAATGTGACTAGCACATGTATTTCTCACAAGCGACTTAACGGTGATCGGATTCACTTACCTGATATATGTTTTCCTCTTCCTTCGTAATTTTATTCTTCTCCAGTACATTTAGCCTCTTTGACTGTGAGGTGAAACCAGAAGTTGGTAAATGTGTGAAATTGTGCAACGTCCACTGGAGTGAAAACAACTATTAATCCATTTAAGAAACGTATAGGTGTGTAGGAACAGTTTTACAGATTACATTCATTTCCGGTGTGTTGAACTGTATGACAAACTATTATTGAGACATCTTGGAAATGTATCATTGCTTCAACGTAAACGCTGTGAGTCATGGGTAGTTGAGAGATAAGATATGCAGTCGGCTATATAAAAGTAACCTTCTGACCTATTTAATGTCATGCACAATATCACTTTTCTTTTCTAGTTTTGACTGAATGAATCTTACTCTAAATGTTATTCTATAATAGGAATTTGTGTTAGAATAACTTTTTATTTGTAACTTTTTTTTAGCAATCTTTGGCAAAAGAGTGAGTCTTTTAAAGTTATCTTATCCTACCTTGGAGAGAAGGGAGATAGAGGGCAAAAGCACACACAGTAGCAGCAAGACCCCCTCGGCTGTCAGGATCGTGTTTTTGGTGGTCTCACTCAGATTGATTGTCTTCTCCATCGGCTCTGGGTCAACACACAGGGTTCAAAGGTGAAACAAACAAGTACTTACATGTCTTTATAGCAAGTGGGAGTGCACATTTGAAAGCAAGAGCGTTTAAAATAATCCGATTATCACTTAACACTAAGTAAGGAGATGTATTAGGAGCTGGTTTGCTATAACTGTACTTAAAGAAAACAGTCTTATAATAAAATAAATGCATAAAGAATTGTTGGTTTGTTATGTGAGAGTATTTTTTATTAATAAATGTGCATATTTCAAGGAAGAATATACTGGTTGTGTGTGTTTAATGAGATGTTGAGGGTTTTCAGTGTGACAAATGCCTCTAGTCTGCACATTAGCTTGAAAGACAACTTGATCTGATCTGTGTGCTATATAAAGTGAGTCTGTAACGAGACCCTCCTAAAGGTGTAAAGATGAACCAAGCTGCGATATGCAAGGATTCCTCCACTCACACTGCTTTTGGATACACTCACGTTAACAGGATTTACAGTTTATGAGGTTGTTAGCAGTGCTTAGAACTTGCTCTACCAACACACATGAACTCACTGTAGATCTGCAGGTAGGTGCCGTGTGACAGGACGTTCACATTGTTGCCCCTGAGCTTACAGCGGTACAGCCCAGAGTGGCACTGACGGAGGGGATAAAAGGTCAGGGTGCCGCAGGATTTGCCCGGTGCGACTTCTTTAGGCACTCCTTCTGTCACTCCTTCTGATAGATGCACAGTGTGTATGGTTCGGTTGGTGGTTTGCTTGACCCATGTGACATTCAATGACTTATCCCCGGTGGTGTAGCAGCACTCCAGTTTAGCTTCGTGAGAGACTTGCTTCCTCAAATAGGGCCGGTCCCGATCTAAAGTCACCTTACTCTGAGCAGTACCCACTGTTGAAGAAGCAAATAGTATTGTGTTGTTCGATGCATTTTTGGGTTTGGTTTTGTCTGTTTAATTATTTCATTATGATTGCATATATCAAACACATATTACATGGTTTTTAAACTTGACAATGAAAAAAAAAAAAATGAGCAGTAAATGTATTTAAGCTAACAGAGCAAACATGCAACAGCCATCTGCTTTGACAGGAGATGTGGTTCAGTGAAGCATGACTCACACAAGCTAAATGTAAAAAAAAGTTTAAGAAATGACCTAAATACATATAATTATAGTAGCTTTAGTTTACAGGAATGTCTATTTTCCACAAGACCCAAAGGATCATTGCATTTATATAATTATAAATAAAATAAACACTGGTAACAACTTTAAAAAGAGTATTTTAGTTAATACTGTATTTGAAAATAACTTTATTCAACTTACCTACAAAGCTGCAGAGGAGAAAGAGTGTTATTATCCCCATCGTATTAAGTAATGTGTGATCCAAAGATAACTAAATGTACTGAAATACTTTAGAGAGAGTTCTTTAAACACTGATCCAAGTCTCCGCTGATATTGTCTGCACAGCTTGTGTCTTGTTTTTCTCTCAGTCAGGATTTATGCTTGAATGAATTTGGATTGTCCCACATTTGCATAAAAGTTATCTCTGCATGCTTTCAAAAATAGATTGTATCATGTTACTTTCTTCATGAAGAACCAAGATTTCCGTCCAATTGTCTTCGTTCCCCCCCATTACTTTGGTGTTCGCGGTCAAATTTGACCGCTCCTGTTTTAACTGCTATTACATTAACACAAAACCCATTAATCATCACCAAATGTCCTTTAACACCCTTTTCAAAGTGTAAATATTGTATCAGACTACTGCTATACATGAAAAACTGCAGTAAACATACAAAGAATAGACACTGAACATGTATTGCGTATAAGAGAGGGAAATGTATCAAATTGTTCTGTGTGTGTGTGTGTGTGTGTGTGTGTGTGTGTGTGTGTGTGTGTGTGTGTGTGTGTGTGTGTGTGTGTGTGTGTGTGTGTGTGTGTGTGTGTGTGTGGTTGTTTGTGTGTATGTTTTATCTAATCCGGATGGTTACTAATTCCTTTTCTTTATGGCGGTCATTTCTGACCAGGAACACCATGGGTGTTGCAAAGTTGACTAAATCCTCCAAAATTCAATGAAAGTGGTGATCAGCTATTTTATATGTTCAAATGTCTACTGTGAAGGATATCATAAAGCCTTAAAGGTGGCCGGGTAGGTCATTTTGGAGAAACCAGCTGACTGAACACTGACTGAACATAATTAGATAACTTGATGCACTAAAAAGTTTTAACAAGGGTGTAATTATTTTTTGGAAAATATGCTCAACCAATCGGTCGATTTGGCCTTTTATGGTAAACTAGCAATATGACTTTTTCAGAGATGTTTTTCAATAAAATATGGTAAATAAATAGCTAGATTCATGGTAATAGTACTAGATCTATACTGCCTTATGAGTCTCAGAGTGAAAGAGTGATAATAATTTATATAGCACCTTTCATGCATGGCATTCAGCCCAAAGTTGCACACAGATTAGCAAGTTAGGCCAACACAGGATATAGACATGTGCTGTTAGGCCAGTGGTTTCTTGTTAGGCCAATGCAGCATATATATATAGATGAGCAAGTCTTTTTTTTATCATGAAAAACACTTTACATTACTTTTTTCCATTTTTATTTTTTTTCCAATTATAATTTATTATCTTTTATGAATATATCTGATTGCTCATTTTCCATAAAAGAAAGAAATGTATTTGAGTTTGTGTTTTATTTTGATGCATAAAAATACTGTACCGTATATGATGATTCTTGAAAATGCACTTTTACCATAAAAGGCCAGCTCGACCAGTTGGTAGAGGCTCATAAAAACAAAACTGTNGGTGGGTGGTTCGCCGGTGGGGGGGGTGTGGGGTTTCTGGCGTCGTATCCTCCCCCCCACCCCCCCCCCCCGAAAGTTGCCGAGCAAACTCACCATATGGTGCAATACCTCCTGCCTCCACTGTGGTGCAGCACAAAACACAAGAGACCATCAGAGTCCTTTTTGAAATGTTAAATATTTACGTGTGTTTGCAGTTAAAATATCTGTATGTACTTCTATCTCTGTACATAACTTTGTGCACGTTCAAAACATTCTGAAATATAGAAGAAGCACTCCAGTTCGGCCTCGAGACTCAAGAGGATGAAAGGGCCTCTACAATCCAATCACACAACATCAAAAAGGAAACACAGTCAGGGGCCATGGAGCAATGTGGAAGAGGCGTGCGGACGAGTACGATGGAGGAATGAGAATACAGTGACTGGGTGATGGGAGGGGGCCCCCTGCAGACGGCTTGATGCTGACCTATTCCTGACTGATGGCGTTTGTAGTTTTCTCCAAAGGCCACGAGGCCGATAGCGATGGTCTGGAGACACGGCCGGATGGCTGGGCTGAACTGGAGAGACGGATAAAAACAGAGACAGATTATTAATTATATTACATAATCTATTTAAGATGTACTCTACACTAAAAACTGCTTTCATTTGAGCAGAGACGACGGGATATCAGAAGAGTTTCAGACATAATAAATTGATGCAGAGGGAGGTTTCATCACTTTTTTTCCACTTCGTCTTTTTGCTGAGGGCTTAGCCTCTGTCTTTAGGATCAACAGAGACTCTTGTGAAGAAGAGCCTTCCCTCTGTCCATCTTAAATGATTCACTCACTTTAGTTTAACTGCAGGTTTAGGCAGCATGAGTCATTTTTTAGATCTGCAAATCTTTCCTGGCTTTACGAATTACAGCTCTGACAGCTCTCTGATCTGGGTCAATTCGCTTTAGTCTGGGTACAATGCAGCCCCTGGCATTTTCTTTTAAATAAATCACACATCCACAGGTTTGTTCTTTTTCCAAACAGAATATCCTTTTGATTGACAGGCAATGGCAGACTTGGGAGCTTGTTACTACTATTTAAAAAAAAATTGCTAGCTACATAACCTAACAAGGGCAGTAACATAAGAGTATATTTGTCAGAGCTGTAGATGGTGCATTCAGGTGCTTGTCTGTAGGTGGTAAGCCAGAATTGGTGAGATAGAAGTGGTTTTTCATGACGTTTTACTTCTATTGTTGTCTGCTCCTTTTGTATTGTTGTCTTTATAATATATATCCTTCTAAAAGTGAATTACCTGCAGTTCCTACTTTGTGAACATTGAAGTACTTCCTGCCTCTCTTTCTTCCGAGTGTCCTACTTTTCTTCACATAAAAAGCCAATTCTAGTTCATCAAGCCTGAGGCACTGCTGCTTCTAAGCCTCCCCATTCGTCACTCCTGCCAGCTTCCCCTGCACCATGCGGCTTTTCTCACCTGGAAGCCGAGGCATCGGCCATAGAAGCAGCCCTTGTGCATGGATGTGTATTCGCGGATAAAGGTCTCACTGAGGCCGCTCTCATCCTTGAAAAAGAGGTTTCCATGGCTGTTGTCGTGCAGCATGCGCTGAGCCAGGTAGAGCAGGGCGCGCAGCTGGCACAGAGCGTTGCAGTACGCCTCCATCTCCCCCGCGTTGTGTGCCACTCGAAAGAAGATGCTGCGGCGGTTGGCGGTGATGTAGCGCCCTTTCTGGATGATGTGGAGAAGGCAGCAGCGCACAACCTACAAAATGAGGAAGATTGTAACATTAAAATGGAGGAAAAATAGCAAGTCTTACGGCCCGTCCACACACAGGCATGAAAAAAATCTTGATGCTGGGCGTGTCTGAAGCTTGGCGATTTTTTGCGAGCAACGCGACCAACAACCAATCACATGAATCTCCCGCCCCCGACATACAAAGCAATAGCAATGATTAAAACGAAAGAGTAACTGGATATAAACTCTCCAAACAGGGCGAAAAGCCTAAGTTTTCACCCACTGTCTTGCCACCTCCCTCCATGCCTGGTTCCCTCCGGTTTGTATTCCCGGTAAATTGTTCTGCGTCGGTAAGTTAGAAATCCGGTGGGTGATTTTGCTACCGGTAATATCTCGTTTGGAATACGAGGGGGGAAATGAACTGCGGTCTGCGCGCTCCCAGCTTGCATCGGCGGCGCGTTGATTGGCTAGCGCTTGTTACTGGTGGGATTTGCCGATAAACGGAGTGTTGGCGGTTGGGGCTGATGC